AAAAGCTACATGCTTTTTTATGTTATACTTCAAAGCGAACATAACTGACAGAATTGCGTACCTGTAGGTCTAGAAGAGGGTTTTGAAGAAATTAGTTATTAAAAAGCAAATTAGGCCCAGGAAATTAGAAAGTAGCATACAGTAGATCTGCTTGATTGCAATTGCAAGCCTACTCTTTCTTATAAGAGAGGTTCATCGACATTTCCTGAAAGAAAAATGTGATTCAAATATGATAATTAGATATGAGACAAATACTTCTATATTAATTTACTTGAAGTGATTAGTGACCATAAAAAAATTAAAAAATTAAAAAAGAGACAATGACGTTGTAATATCCCAAATTTTCGGGAATTTTAGCATTAAATTAAGGACGTGATTGTGAGGAAAGATTGTTTTGGGGTCTATTGTGAATATTCTGAAAGCTGAGGGACTTAAAAGTGAAAGAGTTTTGGATAAGGATCAACTTCTTTTCTTTTTCTTTTTCTTTCTTTCTTTTCTTCCCAGCCTTGCCCGATTCTGCTCTTCTTCTCCTTTCTTCCCGCTGCAGCCACTCGAAAGAAAAAGAAAGAGAACCCAGCCATGCCTTTGAGAAACCGGTGAGATAAGCTTGGTTTTCTCCTTCCTTTCTTGCTCTAGAACACACCTAGAACCCAGAAATCTTTTCCCCCCTGCTGGAAAAGCCGGATCTGCCCTGCTCTGCTTTGTCCTTCCGCCGGCTGCTCTTGATTGTGGGGGTGATTTGCTCCGGTTTTGGGTAAGAAATAGCTCGAATTCTCCCTTCTCTAGCTTTGAATTGCCCTGGGTTTACTTTAATTGCTCTTATTCCTCCAATTTTTGGGTAGCCGTGAGCTTTCTTCTTCCATGCCGCCGGCCTTCCCCAATCTGCTAGCTCCGGTTCCTTGCTTGTAAATTCTGGTATGTGACAGCCTTTTAAGGCTTAAATTGTCCATTTAGTTTGTTACCTTGTGTGTCCGAATTTTGCTAGAAAAATGGGGGATAATCCCGGTAACTTTAGGATGAGATTTAAGCATTAATTCAAGTGGGATTTATGTGATTGAGTGTTAATTGCTTGTTGTGATTTTTGGAGAGAAAATCCCGTGAATTAGCTAGTGTATTGGCCAATTTTGGAAGTGCAGTTACTGTTCACGTCGGGGCCACTGTTCACCGGCACTGTTCACCGGTTACTGTTCATACCCCGAGGGCCAGCATTTAACGGGAATTTAAATGATTAGTTTGTGATATAAGAACGAATTTGGAGATATTTGATCATGTGGAGATTGATAGGAAATAGCATTGTGATTAGGAATGATCCTAATGATGAGTTTACCTTGAATTTGTGATAGTGGTATTAATTCTCGGATATCTTCATTAGGTTCCCGATCGTTCTGTCAGTTAGCATTGAGATTGAGTGCTCGGTTTTATGCAAGTGAGGTAAGTAAATTTATGGTAATGCCTGTACTGTTTTAAAAGCATGTTTTGATTTGTTTTTAAAGTGGTGGCGGGACTAAACCCGTTTTACACAAGTATGACTTATTTGAAGTGAAATGTTTTATGCTTTTCATTAAATTGAGCATGCCTACTTGAAATTTAAGTGACTGTCTTGATGATTTGAAGGTGATTGTGAATCGTGATTTTCTGTTAACTTCTGCCTGTTTTGTCTCCGATACGATCATGTTATTCTGTTGCCCGCTAGTGGGAGGTCAAACGCTAGCACATGTCGACATGTTTCTGATAGAACCGGTTCATTCCTGTAATCCTACTAGTGGGAGTCAAACACTAGTAATTTCTGTTGCCTGCCAGTGGGAGGTTTAAACATTGGCCATAACCTATAGAGGAGACGTCTATTTCGTTCCCGTACTTGTATCCGTTTTCCGATTACACTGGTTGGCATGCTTTAAGTTTGATAAGGGGCACTCCATATTTACTTACTGAGTTTATCTCATAGTTTTTCTTTGTCCACCATTTCAGGAAATGAAACTGAGGACGGGAAAACCACGGGAAGTGACGAGTTAGAAGGCTAGCAATTTCGAGATTGATTAGATTTTAGAAACAAATCATGATCTTGTATTTGGAGATTTTAATTGGAGATTTATGATATCAGAGAGTTTATAAAATTTGATTTTCAGATTTTGATGGTATTAGAGTATGATTTGATAAGTTCCGAGTCTTGTGCATTTGTGGGACCCGTCTCATGATTGTACGGCGTCTGTCGCGCCTCGAATTTAGGTTTTGAGGCGTGACAGACATCAAATAAAGGATCAATTAAAACGAGAATCTGAAAAGAAAGACGTCAAATAGAGGATCAATTAAAACGAGAATCTGAAAAGAAATGAAGAAAATATAAACTAAATTGAAAAATATGGTCATGAATTACTCCATAACAAACACTGATATATATCAAGAAAAAATGAACAGAATCTTGAAGATATGGATGGATAGTTTACTTACATGCAGGGTTAGCAGAAGAAATAGGTAAAGTTGGACACTGATAACCAACTTGGGCCAAGCAAAGCAAATTATTAGAATTAG